CACCGGGAGCCACACACTTCCCAAGGCTCAGACACACTGTGGTTGCCGGGATCAGGGCCTTCCTTCAGAAATGGATGCTGGGAGTTTGCCGCCATCCCCACCCCAAAGGCTGGCCTGGGATGTTGAACTCCTCAGAGAGGCCTGGGAGCTGGAGGCAGAGCCCTCTGCCCCCCTCGGGGACACTGTGCTGCCCAGAGGCCAGCGCCAGGCGGGCTCGCCATGGCATCTGCCAGACATTGCCTCAACTCATCCCAGGGGAGGGGAAGCCAAAGACTGGCCCCCGCCGCACCCCTCCACCAGGCTCACTGCCGATCTCAGAGCAGAGGCCCCAAGCGCAGCCAGGACCTTCCTTTGGGGCAACAGAGAGTGGGCAGTCAGGCTGAGGGGCCCCCACACCTCCAGGGTTGACAGCTCAAACAGGACAGAGCCAGGACAGTCCCCGTGTCCCCTCCAGGCTGGGGCCCTGGACCACATGGCTCCGACACACTGCCCACCTGGGTGTCTCCCGGGGGGTCAGTGCAGGTGGCAGGGGGTTGAGGGGCCTCCCACATTTCCACTCACCCCCCCCGGGTCAGGCCAGCACCTGGGGACCTCAACCTGTACCGCCCCACGTGGTGCAGATGGGAAAATGAGGCCCCAAGGAGGGCAGGACCTGCCCGGCGTCCCACAGTGGCAGGCAGGACCCCGACCTCCACCCCGGCCCCCCAGAGGGGCCCTAACCACACAGTGCAGAGAGGGCCTGAGCTTCCGCCGAGCTTCTGGTGCTGGGGCGGGGAGGGGAAGGGGAGCGGCACCCACCCTGAGGAGCAGCGTCGGGAAGGAGCCGAGGCCAGGCGGGCAGGAGGACAGCCCTTGGTGGTGGCACCTTGCTAAGGAGCTCAGCCGCCTCCACCCCTGATGGGCAGGAATTGCAGGCCCCGTCCTCTCCCCTCCGCCCCTGGGACCTCCACTTCCATTAAGGGAAGAGCGTTGCTGGCAGAGGTTGAGCTGATGAGGCAGCACAGAGGCCTGAAGGTGGGGGTCCTGAGGCAGCAGAGCCCCCATATGCCCTCACTACTGCTGACCTGTGTCTGTGTCGGCACCTGCCTGGACCCACGACACCTTGCTCAGGCTCACGGGCCCTGCACCCAGCTTCCCCCAGAATGGGGCTCCCAGGAGACACCCGGGCCCCATCACAGGCCTTGTGCTTCCCACTCCCCACCCTGTGCAGGGAGGGCTCAAAGGCAGGCTCAGTGGCTGTGCCCCAGTGAAGCTGCCATCACCGGGGGGGGGGCTCCTATTAGCTGAAGGCAGGCAGTGTGTCCCCAGATGCCCATGGGGCTAGGAGTTGGCACCACTGCTCTGAACTCTGAAGGCCCCACCAGGTGCCCCACCACCAGGCCAGGACACATCCTACCTCCCCACCCTGGCTGCCCCAGGAACCCTCCCCACTCCACCCGAAGCTGGAGGCTCTGAGTACAGACCCTTGCAAGCAGCCCTACCCTCCCAAACCCCAGCAAAGATGCCTGCCCAGGAAATCCGAACCAACGCTGTAAACAAATACGTCAGTCAGTCTTCTGGAGCGAGCCCCTTCCTTCCCCCCCACTCAAGTAGGCCCCAAGGCTGCCCCAGGTCCAGTTAGTGACTGTGGTCTCAGCCAGGGGCCCAGTCTGACCGTGGGTGTGGAAGGGGGCTCAGGTCTGGACCCAAAGAGACCTTGGAAGCCAGGAGTACTGTCAGGGCCTTGGAGGGTCTGCATTTGGAAGAAGGGGGACTTTGAGAAGAGCATGAAGGCAAAGGCAGGAGAAAGAGGTGCCAGGCTGGGGTTGAGGGCACAGGAGAGCAAAGCTAAGGGGCAGACGGGCACGGTGGGGGCAGAGGGAAGCTGCAGAACCATCACTGCACCCTGACCACTGCACAGGAGCCAGGCACGGGTCCCCCACTCTCAGCCCCCCAACTCCTCCCAGTGCCACAGGACCCCTCATCCTGGCCACACCCGTACCACGTACAGGGCTCAGCCTCTGCCTCCACACCCACAGCCACACCCAGAACGGGCACAGCCCCCCAGTCACACACAACTTTCCTCATCCCGCCCCGGCTTCCACCACTGCCCATGGCTCTGGTCACTGGCTGCCCACTGGGGCTCCCCCACGCCCTCCCCACAGGCCCAGCAGGACTCCGGCAGCGGGGGGTCAGGACAGACACACACGGGCTCTTGGGGTCCCACCAGGGGGATACCCCTCCCACCACCTTAACCCCTGAGCTTCATCCCGAGGAGACGGAGGAAATTATTCTGAGGAGGAACGGGCCAGGCTCTGCCCCCTGGCAGGACAGATGAGTTGGAAATGCAAAAGCCCCTACTACAGAGAGCTGGCACCCCCAAAAGGAAAGGAGCCCTGGGGAAGGGGCACTAGGCCTGACTCCTGAAATAGCCTCCTGCCAGGAGAAGGGGGCTTAGCTCACAGTGACTCACGGCACAGCAGGTGTGGACGTCAGCCCAGGACAGACTCTCCTGACTAAACCCCCACCCATTCTTATTTCCCCTGCCCCGCTCCCGCACTCAGACCCCCACTGGGCACCAGCCCAGGGTTGGGGGGGCCAAGGCTGGTGTATGAGGCCAGCGGGGCTCCAGTTTGCTGGACTGGGCAGCAGGTGGTGATTGAATAATAAAAAATAATTGGGGCCGGTCACGGTGGCTCACGCCTGTAATCCCAGCACTTTGGGAGGCACTTTGGGAGGCAGAGACGGTGGATCATGAGGGCAGGAGTTCAAGACCAGCCTGACCAACATAGTGAAATCCCGTCTCTACTAAAAATACAGAAATTAGCCGGGCACGGTAATGCACATCTGTAATCCCAGTTACTCGGCAGGCTGAGGTGGGAGAATCGCTTGAACCCCAGAGGCGGAAGGTTGCAGCGAGCCGAGATCACACTACTGCACTCCAGGTCACAGAGCAGGACTCCATCTCAAAAAATAAAAATAAAAAAGAGAGAACTGGATTTTCCAGCCCAGAACAGGGTCCCAAGAGGGTTCCTGGTGTGTTCCTTCCCAGGTTGAGGACAGCGGAGTGTGTCTGCCAGCGGTAGAAATGGAGGCCTTGGCCGGGCGCGGTGGCTCAAGCCTGTAATCCCAGCACTTTGGGAGGCCAAGACGGGCGGATCACGAGGTCAGCAGATCGAGACCATCCTGGCTAACACGGTGAAACCCCGTCACTACTAAAAAAATACAAAAAACTAGCCAGGTGAGTTGGCGCCTGTAGTCCCAGCTACTGGGGAGGCTGAGGCAGGAGAATGGCGTAAACCCGGGAGGCGGAGCTTGCAGTGAGCTGAGATCCAGCCACTGCACTCCAGCCCGGGCGACAGAGCGAGACTCCATCTCAAAAAAAAAAAAAAAAGAAATGGAGGCCTCTTTGGGGTTCACAGAGCAAAGCGGGGTCTACCTGGGGTCTTCCATGAAGGTGGGCTGCTCTCAGGGCAGAGACCCCCCCCCCGGGGACCCTCTTCTTTCTCCCTGAAGGCAGGTGTCCAGGCCACGGAGGAGGGGAGGAGGGGGGACAGAGGAGAGGGCTTCCCCTCCCAGGACCTGCCTGCCTGCCGGGCCCCCACACCCACTGCCCTTCAGTCATTCGGTCCCGTCCCCCCATCACAGAAACACTCTGGTCACTCAGCCACCTGCAGCCCACCCCCCACACCCACCAGCTCCAGCCCAAACCCATGTCTCCCACCCCCCTACCTCCAAGGCACCCCTCAGGCCTGGACCTCACCCCTTCAAGAGCCCCTTGCAGAAAACAAACCCTTGGGGTGACCCCTTCTGGAGGTGGATGTCTGGACCAGGAGGCTCCTTGGGTCACACCCGGCAGGCAACCCAGGCTGCTGTCCCTCCCAGGGACCCCCGCAGCCCCCACCCCAAGCTGGCGAGAGAAGGAGCCAGGGCTCAGGAGGAGAGAGATGGGAAGGCGGACCCAGGCTTCTGGGCACTTGGCTCCAGCTGGATCTCATGCAGATGGACAGCCTCCTGACGCCCAGAGCCCAGGCGAAGCTGAGGCCACACCCCTGACTCCCAGCTGCAGCAGCTGGTTCAGGAATTAAGGATAGGGCACAGAATGACCTTGGCATCACTTCACCTCCCCCAGCCCAGCCAGCAAAGCCCCAGGCCCGGCCCAGGTCATCCTTGGCCACCCCCAACTCCAACTGCCCTCCACAGGGGCCAGGGACAGGACAGGGTGGCGGCTCCATGAGGCGTGCTCCAACCTGGCCAGGTGGGAGTCCTGCCCCACCTCCTGCCGACTTGGGGCTGGGGTGGAACCTTGTCCTCCCTCTACTTCAGCTCTGCCCCGCCCAGCACACAGGGCCCACCCTAGACACCACTCCAGGTCTGAGCACACCTGACACCACCTCCGCAAAAGTTAGGGAAGCCTCTGCTGCCGGAGGCGCGGGAAAGCCAGGGTCTGCCGCGAGCACTCATGGCCCACGGCCCTGCTCAGTGTCCGGGATTCCCTTCCGCAGCGCCTCCCGGCGACTGGGGAACCTTGGCGGCAGCCGGCTCAACCCCTCGGAAGTGAGTCCCTTGGCCGGGCAGGTCGCCTGCCTGGAGGAGTGGGGCCGAAGCAAGGATGCCAGCTGCACCGGGGAGGGGGCGGGCCCAGGGGAGGCACCGGGGCCCCGCGCAAAACGGGCCACGACCCGGACTGGAATCCCGACCCTAAGGGAGGCGCAGTGCCCGGGTGGTCCTGCCCGGCGCGCACGTGTGCAACGTGTCCCGTCCCATCAAGAGAGTAGAGGAGAGGGGGCCGGGGCGTGGGGCAGCCTCTCGGAGTGCAGGGGTCAGACCCAGCGAAAACCTTCCCCACCCGCCCAGTCCAGGCCCCAGCCGGAGCAGCGGTCTTGGGTCCTCCTGGACCACCCCCCCAACCGCACCCAACGCCCGGCCAGGGCAGCGACTCCGGCCTCCCAGACCCCGTGACCCGCCGCGGCAGGCACCCCGGGTCTTTCCCGGGCACCCACCCCGGCGCCCGGACTCACCCAGAAGAGCAGGTTGAAGGCGAACATGAGGTACTTAACGGCTTGGAGGCAGGCGCGCGCCATGCCGCAGCGCTTCAGCTCTAGGAGGAAAATGAAGGAGAGGTCCAGGTAGAAGACCACGTACTTGTTGCCCTTGGGCGACGTGTAGCGCGCCTGGGCCGCCTTGGGGCCGGGATTCGCGTGCAGGCCGAAGAAGGCGCCCCCGGCGTCCCCGCCTCCCGCGCGCCCGTACAGGCTGCTGTAGCGCCGGAAGGGGCCGCCGCGCGCGAAGCCCGGCTCCTTGCCCTCCGGAGAGGGGCTGCGCCGGTACGTGGACTCGTCCGTGCTGGAGCGGCGCATCTCGCCCGGGTGTGCCGGGGCCGCCTCTCAGCGCCCCACGCCCGCCGCCCCGGAAACCCCCATCCCGCCGGCCGGTGCCTGCTCCGGCCCCGCTCCCGCTCCCGGTCTGGCCCCCGCGGTGGCAGCGGGACGCGCGGATCCGCACGGACCCCGGCTGCGGGACCCCAACACCTGCCCGGCCCGCGCGCTGCGGACCCCGCGCCTCGCGACCTCGCGCGCCCCGCCCCGCGCCCTCCCGGCCAATCCCCGGCGGCTCCGCCCACGCGCGGACCCCCTCCCCTCCTCGCCGCACCGCCCGGCAAACCCCAGCGCTCCGCCCGGGCCGACCAATCGCAGCCCCCGGCAACGCACCAGCCGCGACCCCGGCCCCTCTGCCGGCGCCTGCGCCCCAGCCCTCCCCACTTTGCGCGCGCGGCAGGAAGATGCTCGCGAAGGACGCCTGAGGGGACTGGGGACCGGGGCCGGGGCCTGGGGATGAGACCTGGGCAGCTCTTGGCCCGCGACCGACGCCCCCAGCCCTTCCCCCACGGTACCTCGCCTGGACCCCGGCCCCGGGTCGGGCTTGGAGACCTCCGACCACGCGAACAATACGCAAAGCACCACGCAAATGGAGGGTTACCCCGTTGCTGTCTGGTGGCAACTTGGGGCGACTCCGCCCCGGGCGCTTTGGGAAGCCCTGAGTGCCGGGGGCGGACGGGGGGAGGGCTGGGTCAGCCTGCACTGCCTGGAGCGGGGGCCGTTGAGTTTTTGACTATACGAGAGGTTCCACAACACAGAAGAGCGCAGGTGTGATTGCTGAGACATCCCCCCGAGCAGGCAGCCCCGCGGGAGGCGGGCAGCCCCAGGCCACACCCAGAGCTTTCCAGGTGGGCACGGCTCGGCCTCCGCCCCGTGTAGTCCCCAAGGCGGGAGCGGGGCCGGCTTCAAGGGCAGTCGCTCGCACCCACCCCAGCTGGCTTGATGCTCTGCTGTTCCCGTCTTGAAATTCTTGGTAATTTTTAAACAAGAGGCCCAGAATTTCATTTTCTTCAAGCCCCGGCTGGAAATCAGCCTGTAAGAGACCCCACCCCGCCCCCGACAGGTACAGACATACTGGCCCCGTGCGCAGATGTGCCTGCACTCCTGGGTGTCATCACGCCGGGTGCGCACACGCCTCCCACAACCGGAGATGGGGACAGAGGCCCCCAGCTGTGCCCCGCAGCCTACCCCACGTCTCTGAAGCCGCAGCACCACTGCAGGGCACAAGGGCCCTACGGCGTTGGGAAGCACGTGGCCCAGATTCCTGGCAGGTGACCTGAAGCCCAGAGGTCGGGCATGAGGAAGGGAAGGAGGAAGAGGAGGGAGAGACCGCTAAGGGAGGGGAAGGGGTGCTCCCTGGCAGGGCTGGCCATCTCTGGAGGCCTGGGTCCTCCTGGAGTAACTGATGTGGGAGGTGGCAGGTCTGGGGAGGACTGCCGTGGGAGACCTGGGTGCCCAGGGAGGTCCCGCACCTCTGCCGGCCCCTGAGGACCTGCCCCAAGCCTCTGCTGCCCCCCAAGGGTTCTGTAGAGAACTGCAGCCCTAGCCCCGCGGCAGCACCCCATGCCCAGGTCCTCACTGGGGGAAGGGGATAGGGGGCCCCCGGAACAGGAGGCTAGTCTGGAGGTCCCCTGAAGGTCCACACGGCCATCCTGGCGCTTCCCATGGCCCCTACCCTGTCCTTCCCCTGAGGGTTCTTTGGTGGGTCTGGGCCCCAGGAATAGGTCAGAACGGAGGCCACGCATCGGGGCCCAGCAGAGACCCCAGGAACCCTGGGACCCCGACCCTGACGGAAACACCCGCATGACGCCCAGCCCCCTTCTGCCGGCCATGCGGGTACAACCCGAGGGCAGACACTCAGCCGTGGGCAGCGCCTCCAGGGAGCTCGCATGTGACCTGGGCAGCGCTCAGAGCACCTACTCGTGGGCCAGGCAAGGGGAGGTGCCACGGGGACCTGGGAGGACCCCAGGCTGACTGGAAGAAGCCAGACCCCACCTGCAGTCCAAAACTCCACCTGAGCCACCCCAAGGAGAGCATCTGCCACCAGGCTAGCCAGTGGCACCCCTGCCCCATCTCTCCTGCATCCCCCTGTGGCTGGGGCTGGAAGGAGAAGTGGCGGGCAAGGCTCGAGGGTCCCACGCGGGTGGGAGGGCAAAGGGAGAGCTGGAAGGAGAAGTGGCGGGCGAGGCTCGAGGGTCCCACGCGGGTGGGAGGGCAAAGGGAGAGCTGGAAGGAGAAGTGGCGGGCGAGGCTCGAGGGTCCCACGCGGGTGGGAGGGGCAAAGGGGAGAGCTGGAAGGAGAAGTGGCGGGCGAGGCTCGAGGGTCCCACGCGGGTGGGAGGGCAAAGGGAGAGCTGGGAAAGGCGGAGGACAGTGGAGCAAGGTGGCGGGCGAGGCTCGAGGGTCCCACGCGGGTGGGAGGGCAAAGGGAGAGCTGGAAGGAGAAGTGGCGGGCGAGGCTCGAGGGTCCCATGCGGGTGGGAGGGCAAAGGGAGAGCTGCTCTGGGTGCCTGCACTCAGCCCAGCACCCAGGATGCAGTCCCAGTGCCCCCCAAGACCCCTGTCACCCCCTTTCCCATCTACAAAGCCCTGCACACATCACCCAGGTGAGCAGATGAGGCCTATTCAAGAAGAAATCAAAAACCTCAAACAGGCCGGGTGCGGTGGCTCAAGCCTGTAATCCCAGCACTTTGGGAGGCCGAGACGGGCGGATCACGAGGTCAGGAGATCGAGACCATCCTGGCTAACAAGGTGAAACCCCATCTCTACTAAAAAATACAAAAAATAACTAGCCGGGCGAGGTGGCGGGTGCCTGTAGTCCCAGCTACTCGGGAGGCTGAGGCAGGAGAATGGCGTAAACCCGGGAGGCGGAGCTTGCAGTGAGCTGAGATCCGGCCATTGCACCCCAGCCTGGGGGACAGAGCGAGACTCCCTCAAAAAAAAAAACAAAAAAAATAAAACAAAAAAAAAACCTCAAACAAGGCCACCGAGGGCCAGTAGGAGCAGGGGCTGGGCTTGCTCCTGTTGCCAAGTTCAGGATTCACACTGGGTTGCTCAGACACAGGCAGGGGCCCGGGCAAGGCCACAGTGTCAGAGCTCAGCTGGGGAGGGTCCTTCCTCAACACTCCAGCCAGGGTGTTCTGGGACCCTGTCTCCAAAGTCCAGCCCCTCCCCACGGGAGCTCCGATTAGACGCTCAGGTGTGTTGTCAAAGTGTCCGGCTGGCAAGGCCCCTGGGCCGGCAAAGTGAGACCCAGAGGCAAGCCCACTGCTGCCCACCACAACCATCCAGCCCCGCCGGGCTGTGACATACCTGGGCTGGCCACAGGAAAGAGGCCAGGCGCTGCTCAGGGCCCCTGAAGGCTGACCAGTGGGCAGGCAGGCGGTGGGTGCGACCAAGGCAGCCCCAAGCTCTGCGGAAGGAAAGATGGGCAGAGTGGAGCCCTGGCTTCCATCCTCAGCACAGCCAGAGATGCTCCTAGACAAGGGCAGGGAACACCCACCTGGGGCCAGGTCCCTACAGGGCAGAGGGGCAGTCGGGGGTGGGCAGGGGGATACACCACCAGACTCGGGGGAGAAGACCACTGAGGAGTAGCCCCAACCAGGAGAGCTTTGAATCAATGACTGAGTCACCAAATTCTGCCCGTTCAGGCCTCTGAGACAGCCAGGCAGGGACACAGGCTCACTCACAGAGACACGGTGTGCAGAGAACACATGTTCAAAGACATATACTCACAGCACAGGGACATGCAGAGACACAGGCCAAGGCACACGCTTGCACCCACACAGACACGCAGCAGTGCCTCCCCGCTGGGGTCCCAGACCCCTGGTCCAGCCTGCTGTCTGCTTCCTGCCAGGCAGGAGCACTCCCACCCCACCCTGCCTTGGGCTCTGAGCAGACACCCCAGCTCAGGAAGGGGGCCTCGCGCCCTCCCCATGGAGCTGTCAGCAAGGACCCTCAAGGCCCTCCTCCACCATGGGTTGGGGAGTCTGTCCTCCTCCTGCCACTCATGGATTTCTGGCCAGGGAGAAGCCCCAAACTCACCTGGGCAGCCAAACGCAGTGCCCAGCACTCCCTGCCCTGCTGGCTCCACCCCGCAACACCTCGCCCCTCAGACCCGGCTCTCTGGAGTGAGGTAACTGTCCTTCCAGTAGCCCAAGGGCAGGAGGAACCATAGAGGCTCCAACCCAACCCTGGCTGAGCGAGGGCCCCGAGACAGACACCCAGAGCTCTGCAGGTTGGAAAACCCCGGGGGACTGAGCTGCAAGGAGACCTCGGACACCCACGAAGCCAGAGGGAGGTCCCCCCCCAAGAGAGGCCTGCCCATGCGACAGAGCAGCCTGTCTGCAGTAGCCTGGGTGCCAGGCCAGTGGAGCGGCCTCTCTGAGCCCCAGCAGCAGGGCAGCAGCTCAGTCCTGGCCCAGCCCAGAGCCTGGGGTCGCCACACAGCCCAGCAGGGGCAGCTCAGGACAGACAGCAGAGCCAAGCCCACACACCCTGACTCCCCAGGCTCACAGGCTCTGAGGTAGCTTTGAGGAAGCAGGGAGGCCCGCCAACACAAACAGCTTATGCTGTGGGCTTCCTGGCTGCCTCAGCCCCTGTGGGGCCCCAGTGCCCGTCCCAGGCCCTCACCCTGGGCGGGGGGGTCCCAAGCAAGCTAGCACCCCCTCATGCATACAAGGAGCAGGGACTGGGGGCTGCACACAGAGTCTGGGTGGGACTAGGCCTCTCCCACCCAAACCTGAGCCCTGGAGGCTGGAGACACCACTCTGATCCCCCCACCAGCCCCAGGGGAGGGACAGACCATCCAGAGGTTCCCCAGTCTTTCCTCCCAGGACCACCGAGGCCAACCCCACACTCCAGGCCTTCCCCGTAACCCTCCCCTGCACTGTTGGGTATTTCTCTTCTGGGAGTTGGGGGTGAAAGCAACACACTTAGGACCCTGGGTGGGGGGCACCTTCCCACAACCCCCAGGCTCCAGGAGCAGCCGCACCTCAGGTGCCATCCCACCACAGCCCGGGCCCTGACCCGTGCAACCTAGACCCCTACAGAACAGTCTGGGGGGCACATCAGGCCTGGGCAGCTGCATGGCAGGCAGTGACATTCCCAAATGCCACCAGCCCAGGCATGTGAGTGGTTAGGCTGGGGCCAGTTCAGCCTTGGCCCCATCTACAGACCCCACTGCTCAAAATGCCGATCTCCCAGGACTGCAGGGAGGACGCGGACGTCGTGGGTACGGCAAGCAGTGGCCTTGGCTGTGTGCACCGCTGAGGTGTCGGGCACGTGTGCTCGTGACGCCGTGTGCACCCATCCCACCCCACAACATCCTCAGGGTGAGCACACATCTGTCCCAGCCATGGACAGGGCCAAGGGGCACAGGTGTGGGGGCGAGGCTGGGGACACACACCATGATCACCCTCTCCCAGCCAAAGGCCATGCCTGGTCTCAGTGGCAGGAGGGATGCAGCCCTCCTGGTGGGCAGTTTCTGGTCCCACCTGAGCTTCACAGATAGGGAAACACGGGCTGTGATCCCAGACCAGAGTGCAAGTTCAGCTGAATCCCAGCGAGGGCGCAGCCCGTGCTCCCCCCTCCCAGCCCTCCCGGTCCCGTGGCTGGCCTGTTTCCAGGGCAACACCCGGGGTGGGAGGGGCTCAGCAGCTAAAACTTCAATCATGGGTTTCCCCTGGTCACTTGCCCTGAAGTGACCCCTCCTCTAGCAGGAAGCGCTTGGGGGAGCCCACCCTCCGCTCCCTGTGCCCTGTGCTGACCACAGGAGGCTCCACAACGCCCCCTTCTATGAAACCAGTGCCTCGCCTCCTGGCCCCATCCCAGGCCCTCCCCAGAAGCCAGGCCGGGTCTGTACCAACACTCCACACCCAGGAGAGAGGGGCCCCCACCGGCCCCTGCTGGGCAGCACAGTGCCCTGCCCCCCCACAAGGCTCCCTCCCACCCCCGCTAGCCTGAGGAGGGTCGGGCCCAGGCCCCAGGCTGTTCCGCCCCACACGCTCTCAGGGGGACGCACCAGCCAGGGCTGAGGCAGGCCCAGGCTCCCCAGGGTCCTCAGGTATAGCCCCGTCAGGGCTGAGGACAGGCCTGGGCTCCCCAGCGGCCTCCACACACATGTGGTGGGGACTCGGGGGAGGGGCACAGAGCCTGAGGCTGGGGCAGTCTCCAGGTCTCAGGGGCTCTGCTAGGAAATGGAGGGATAGGAAGCTTACACACTTGGAATTCCAAGAATGTCAGCTTGGCCCAAGCCAGGATTTGGAGGGCAGCTTACTCTCCCCGCCCCGTGCTCCGAGTAAACAACTCCTGCAGGCAGGAACAGGCGCAGGACAGGCCCTGGACCCTCCTCCAGGAAGCCTCCGGGCCCCCACCCACTCCCCAGGGCCCACCCTGCTAACATCCCGGACCCCCCTTCCTCCCTCACCTCCACAGCCACCAGCAGCCTCTGCAGCTGAGCCTGGCTCTGACCCCAGGCCACCGTTACTCACGGCCCCTGTCCTGCCCCTCTGCCAGAGCAGGATGTGCGTCCACTCATCCTGGGGGGAGGGGGTCAGGGAAGGGAAGTGGCCTCCGCTCGTGGCTCTGCACGTGGCTGGGTGGGGTATGACAAATGCCACTGGGGAAGCTGCCCAGGGCCCTGGCCAGGTTGGGAGCAGAAATTCCAAGTGTGCAGTGGATCTGGCCAGCACCACTCTGGATCCAGAAAACCCTTCATCCTCCTCCCCTGCAACTAAGGCAGACCCAGCATTGCCCTGAGAAAGCGGCAGCTGATGCCTGGAACCCAGCACAGGTCCCACCCCAGCTGGAAGCCCCAGCCCAGAGCCCCCCCATGGGTGCCACTTTGCAGCCCACCCACCCCCCCACAGCCTACCTGGCACCTCCAAGGAGTCTTCTTTGCCTCCTACTGCACACCGACCCCCCATTTCCTCACCCCCACCCTAGGGGCACAGCAAGGAGGGTGCTGGTGCCAGCCCCCCCGCACTCCATCCGAGAGACACGGGCTCCCCCTCCCTCGTCCTCCGTAGGCCCTGAGCTCCAGGGCAAGGCAGAGCTGCGGCCTTCAGCGGGTCCTGCCAGTGCAGCCTCCGGGAGTCTGCCCAGGGGTCCCCTGTGCCGGGGTCTTCAAGGTTCAATTCAAAGAGCACCTCTTCCACGACGCCCTCCCCGACCTCCCTCCCGGGCCCCCTCTCCCCGTGCTCAGAGGCGCGTCTCAGCGTCGGGACGGCCAGCAGCCCAGCAGAGCCGGGACCGGGGAGGGCGCACCCCGACCCCCTTCCTGGGAAGGAGCGGAAAGAACGCGGACAGGAGGCCGGGGCGGGGAGCAGCCGGCGGGGGCCGTAACTGCGCGGCCGAGGCCAGGACGGCGCTCCTAGGGGCTGGGCCGCGTCCAGAATGGGACCCCCGAACTCGGCGCCGAGAGCCCCGGACACCCCGCGAGTAGAGGCGGAGGCGGAGGGACCCACTACCCGGCGGGGCCAAGAGGGGCAGCAGGAAGACCCGCCCCGGTCCGCGCCCGCCCTCTCCCCAAGCCCCCGCGCCGGACCCCACTTGTTGCTGCGTGTCGGCTCTAGGCTCGAACTCGCGCGCCCCGCTCGCGTCCGGCTCCAGCCGCTCCCGGTCGGACACCTCGGGCCGCGAGACCCTGGCCGCACGCCCCCACGACCCCCCGGGCGCTCTACCTGCGCCGCCGCCTCCCGCTCGCTTCGTCCGCTCCCTCCGCGCAGCTGTCAGTCAAGCGGACACGAGAAACGCGAACCGCCACCGCGGCTTTCGGCCCTGCTCAGACGCCGTAGCTCCGGGACGCACCAAGATGGTGGGCGGGGGTGTGTCGTCTGTTGCTGCCGCGGCCGTGCAGGCCCAGGAGCCCCGGGCCGCATGGGGAATCCCCATGGCGGCGGAAACTGCGGCCAGCTGCGCCGGGGCCAGTGTATGAACGGCTGGGGCAGCGGAGAACGAGCGGAGCCGGTCCCCCCGCGATAGTGGACGCGCCCGGGGCGGGGCCTGGGGGGAGTGCTTCCCGTGCGGCCGGACCGGGCCGGGCAGTCTGGGACGCGCCGCCGCCATGATCATTCCTGTACGGTGTTTCACTTGCGGCAAGATCGTCGGCAACAAGTGGGAGGCCTACCTGGGACTGCTGCAGGCCGAGTACACTGAGGGGTGAGGCGCGGGCTGGGGCCGGGGCTGGGGGCTGAGTCCGCCCTGGGGTGCGGGCCGGGGCGGGAGGCGCAGCGCTGCCTGGGGCCGGCGCTCCATGAGCAGCTTCATACCCGGCCACTCCGGCCCAGCTCTGTGATCTGCTTTCGGGAGAACATTGTCCCCTGAAGTCTGGGGAGAGAACGGAGTTGGGCTTCAAACCAGTGGTGTCCTGGGGATTCTAGGTGGCCTGGCGGGTGGCAGGCGTCTTGTCACCCGCAGTAAAGCCCTTGGTCTCCGTCCTAATCTCTCGTCTCTGCTCCCAGACCCACCCCATGTCCTGCAAACCTCGCTGCAGGACGGGCGGGCGCGGCGGCTCACGCCTGTAATCCCAGAAGTTTGGGAGGCCGAGGCGAGAGGCTTGCTTGAGCCCAGGAGGTCGAGACCAGCCTGGACAACCTGGGGAGACCCTGATCTCCAGAAATTTTTTCTTTTTTTTTTGTTTTTTTGGGACGGAGTCTCGCTCTGTCGCCCAGGCTGGAGTGCAGCGGCGCGATCTCGGCTCAGTGCAACCTCTGCTTCCTGGGCTCCAGGAATTCTCCCCAGTCGCCGGGACTACAGGCGTGTCCACGCCCGGCTAATTTTTGTATTTTTAGTAGAGATAGGAGTTCGCCATGTTGGCCAGGCTGGTCTCGAACTCCTGACCTCAGGTGATCCACCTGCCTCGGCCTCCTGGAGTGCTGAGATGACAGGTGTGAGCCACCGCCCCTGGCCCTCTTATCTTTTTAATTCGCCGGACTTGGTGGTGCACACCTGTGGTCCCAGCTACTTGGAAGGCTGAGGCGAGAGAATCGCTTGAGGCTGGGAGGCAGGTGAAGATTTCAGTGAGCCGAGATCACGCCACTGCACTCCAGCCTGGATGAGAGTGTGAAACTCCGTGTCACGCACACACACACACACACACACAGAAAAAGAAATGCAGGGCAGACTTGCTGACCACCCTCATCATCGGGCTTTGTGGGGGAGGCATCCTTCTCCTGTGCTTGTCCCTCAGTGCTGCTGTCACCACCGTGCCTGAGTCTTGGTGCCCCTGCTGGAGTCTGACCCTTGCCTGCTGAGTCCTGGTCACATGTGAAACCCCAGGCTCGTGTGTGCCAGCCTGCCATAGGCTCTCAGTGCAGCTTGCTGGACGAATGAGTAAAGCGAGTGGGCTGCCAGAGTGAGTGGCTGGTGGCCTGTCCAGACCCTTTCCCAGGGATATGAACTGCAGGGGCCTCCCATGTGGCCTCCCCTTTCCCAAGCTTCTCTCTCTGCACATTGGAGCCATCAGTGTGGGAGTTTTCTGGAAGTATTGATGGTGACTGGACCTTGGTCCCAGGGAAATTAAAGCTTCTAATTGGCTTGGGAAATGGGAGAGGTGGCTCCCTGGAGAAGCAGTCTCTCCCTGATTGAAGGAAGCAGAGGTGAGAAAAGACGCCACAGTGGCAGAGTAGGGCTTGCTCTGGGGTGGGGGATGAACCAGCTAAGGGCAGGCCCCTGGAGAGCTACCCTGCTGTGGCTGGTGCGGGATGAGGGGAGCTGCGCATCAGGACCTCGGTGGCCTTGGTTTTCTATGCTCCCCCAATTACCTCTAGTTTTCGTTTCATTTATATTTCTTACATATGTTAGACACACATATGTACAGCCAGAGTAGGTGGGAGAGAAGGCTCCTCACGCTCCACCCAGGGATCTGGGCATTGCCAGGTTACTCCAGCCAGGATCATACCGCTAGGTCTCTACTTCTCATCCAGGTGAATGTGTTCGCCTTGCCGGTAGCAGGGGAGTGAGGCCAGCAGGCAGTGAGAGGCGGCCTGGATGTGGGCTCCAGGCCTGTGCAGACCGTGGAGAACTCAGCTGGCCTCTCTGTTCCTCCCCTCGCTTGACACAGGGATGCGCTGGACGCCCTGGGCCTGAAGCGCTACTGCTGCCGCCGGATGCTGCTGGCCCACGTGGACCTGATCGAGAAGCTGCTCAATTATGCACCCCTGGAGAAGTGACCAGGCTGGAATCCGCCTACCTGCCATGCTGACCATGGGCCATGAGCATCCTGCCCCAAGTTCACAAGGCTGAGGCATCCAGGAGCTGGCGCAATGCCTCGCCACAGCGTGTGTGTGTCCCATCCCCCACTCTGGAAGGAACAATCCAGTAAAGGTCTTTCAGAACTACCAAGGTCCCAGCCCTCACTAGGATGTCAGGGGCCAGGACTAGGCCCAGCTCTCACACCGCGGCAGCCCAGGGAAGCCGACTGGGCCATGAATTCTCCTAGCCCTGGGGCCAGCCTGTTCCACAGGTACCCCTGCAGGAGGTGCTGCCAGGAGAGCCTTCCATCTCAGGGCTGAGGTTCCCTCCTTCTGGGTGCTCTTCAGACTGAGCAGAGGCTCCTGTACTCTCTCTCTTGGAATCTGAAGAGCCAGATTTAGGCCAGGCACGGTGGCTCACCCCTATAATCCCAGCACTTTGGGAGGCCAAGGCGGGTGGATCACGAGGTCAGGAGATTGAGGCCATGCTGGCTAACACGGTGAAACCCCGTCTCTACTAAACATACAAAAAAAAAAAAAACAGCCAGGCGAGGTGCCGGGCGCCTGTAGTCCCAGCTACTCGGGAGGCTGAGGCAGGAGAACTGCTTGAACCCGGGAGGGGGAGCTTGCAGTGAGCCGAGATTGCGCCACTCACTCCAGCCTGGGTGACAGTGAGACTCCATCTCAAAAAAAAAGAAAAAAAAGAACCAGATCGTCTGGGGCCCAGTCTTTGCTATGGTCACGGATGCCAGCACCTGCTGGCCCCTGCCCACTGCTGCCTGTCCCTGAGGGTCCCACCCGAGTCTAGCAGGGAGGGCAGGCCTTAAGACACCCCTAGCTGGCTTGGGAGGCGGCCCTAAGGAGGCCCTGCTGTCCAGGCAGTGCTGCCAGCAAGCACCCCAGGTCAGATGGCCCTGCTGCTGAGATACCTGGCGTGGTGCCCTCTGGTGGGGGAGAATGGGTCTGCCTGAGGGTCTTCAGTTCTGAGCCTTAGGGACAGGAGCCTGGGCAGTGGGGGGTACAATCAGTGACTGAACCCTGGCTCCCGTCTCCAGGGTACCTCTGCCAGACACCAGGCTCTGGTATCTCCCATCCGTGCCCCCAGCAGGGCCTATAGGCTCTACCATGTAAACCCCCTCACCCTACTGCCCCCACCCATCTGCCTGACGCGTCTTACCTGGGCACAGCCCCCAGTGTGCACCCTTCCCATGTCTGCTCCCCCCCATGACCAGAAGGGTCTTTGGAAACCATTTTTCCTCTCCCCCAGGGGCTCTGAACACACCACCATCTCACCATTTAGAAACATGCTCAGTTCTTTCTGCTGTGAGACCTGTGCTTGGCTGTCCCTGGCATCAGACCTCCCTTCCCTGGAACCCCATGGGGGCTGTGTCCTGGCTCTGCCCTTCTTTGTCCTGACACTGCAAGGAGGGGTCTGTCTACCCTGCTGGACGTGATGGGCCCTGAGAACAGACCATCTCACCAGCACAGCGGGCTCGTCCATCTGCCCCAGAAGTGTTTATTGAGCACCTGTATGTGGCAGGGATGATTGTAGGCATCTGGGTACAGCAGTGAACAAAACTGGGAGGCCCCTGCCCCACACAGGCACATGGATGGGGCAGTGCACAGTGACCATGTGGCATTTCGGGTGGTGGTGACCGCGGTGGGGAAGACAGCAGGGGCTCTGAGGGAGACGAGGCCTGGGTGGGGAGGGGCAGAGGCCCAGGCCCAAGGGTCAGACCTTACTCAGTTTCTCTGACTGGGATGGGGCCATGTGGCTGCAAGGCAAAGCCCCAATCCCTGAAGGGCCTGGGGTGTGAAGGGCTTCTCCCCCTGCTGGGAACACTCGGCCTTGCCCTACTCAGCAAGGCCCCTTCCAGCCTGCATCTGACCACCAGGCAGAATGTGTTCAGGCAGCCCCACAAAACACCCCCGATACCGTCGTCCCGCCAGCCCCCCTTACTTCCCTGCTGGGCTTTGGTGTGCAGCGAAAGGCACTTGAAGCTGCCTCTGGGGTTGGGGTCCCCAGAGGTTATGGTGATGGCACAGGGTGGGTGTCATCAGGGAGCCCAACCCCTGGCACTTAGTAGTCTCAGCTCAGTAGTTGGGTGCAGCAGCAGCAAGGCACAGAGAGCCGCAGCCAAGCCCAGGGCAGGGTCAGTAGTGCTCCAGCTTGAGGCTCCTGTATAGGCAGCATGTGAAGATCATGCCAAAGACCTGTGTGCAGAGCCAGGCGGGCATAAGTAGACGCCGTGGGGCCAGCAACCACCGCCCTGCCCCATGTCCCCGACAATATACCCGTCACCCCGCGTGCCCTCACCTGCACACAGGCAATGCCGGTCCCCACAGCCCCAATGACCCTGAGGTGCTCCTGGATGAAGGTCTCCAACTTGGTGATGCAGCCGCCCTGCGGGGCGCAGATGGGTGCTGAAGGTGGGCCCAGGGGGCACTTCCCACTGGCCCCCACCACCTCCAGGGTGTGGCCATGCCCACCCCTAGCACCTACGCAGCCAGGCCACTGACAGCTCAGCCAGCCACTGGGCTGCCCACCCACCACCTCCTAAGATACTGGAGGCGTGGTCTCACTGCCCACATCCGGCCACTGGGCTGCCCACCCACCTCCCGTAGATGTTGGAGGCGTGGTCTCACTGCCCACATCCGGCCACTGGGGTGACCCACCTCCTCATAGATACTGGGGTGCCCCCATACCTTCTCATAGATACTGGAGGCCCCCATACCTTCTCATAGATACTGGAGGCCCCCCACACTTCCTCATAGATACTGGAGGTATGGTTCCGCTGCCCACCCACCTCCACCTTGTAGATGTTGGAGGCATGGTCCCGCTGCCCACAACCAGCCACCACCGTCTTGCAGCAGCTGTCGGGGACGACGCGGCCACCGGCCTCCCCTGAGCGGATCCACTCACTGTCCCGCCAGTCCTGTGAGTTGTTGCTGCCACAGCAGTGGAACTGCATCAAGAACAAGGCTCAGGGTGAGACCTGGGACCAGAGGCTCCTGCACAGGTCCAGGGAGGCCCTGGGGATGCATGCACCCTCCCAGCACCACCCACCCACCCACCTCCTGCTGCAGCTGGTCCACAGCGCTGGTCACGGCCTGGTGACCCGGCTGGTGGTAGCGCTTGGCCATGGTGTCCTTAAGGTTCTCCTTGAGCTCTGTGTTCAGCTGGGGTTTGGGGTACAAGAAACTTCAGTCTCAGTCTAAGACCTTCCAAGGTGGGGCTGGCAGAGCCCCAGGATGGCCTGAGGGGAGGCCCAGGTCCTGGCTCAGAGCCAGAGGGAAGGGCTGAGGTCAGACCTCGGCATGAGGGGAGGTTGGGTGGTGCCAGGACCGTCACCAGGGTGACAGTGGAGTGCGGCAGAGGCAGAGATGGCTTCCGGATCCCCTGGACACCTGCCTGACCCCATGTGCCCCTGCAGAGACCTAGACCTCACCTCCAAGGCCCAGTGGCACGTTGGTCAGCTCTGGGACCGTGGGGATAGGGGCTGGGGCTAGCCACGTGTGTGCATCTGTGTGTGTCCACCCCACCTGTGCATGTCTGTGTCTCTGAATGGCCTGCCCAGGCCCCTCACCTGCTGGTAGTAGACATAGGCGAGGACACCAGCGATGATCTCCAGCAGAAAGATGATGAGGAGCAGGATGAAGTACTGGGTGGGGGGGGGCAGGGTGCACAAGGAGGCCTAGTTCTGAGGCCTAGTGCCTGGGCACCTCAGAGCAGAGTCCCCACCCCGGCTCCCCAGGCTCCAGGTGGGGGCTGAGTGGCGGCCACCCTCCCTGAAGGTTTCTTGTGGAGCTGGTGTCTTCCCTCAGCTGGTCCAGCGGGAATGTGGGGACCCACAGGACTAGGCAGGGGTGGAAGGACCGTGCCCCCCCAGGTGAGCACAGCAAGGCACAGGTTCAACAACCCCCTTGGGCCCCATCCAAACCACCCCGCCCCGTGGCCCTGCGCCCTGCTGACCAGGCGCAGCAGGTTCCGACGCTCCTTGAAGGTGGCACAGCAGCCCAAGACCCCGGTCACCATGACGACAGCGCCCGCCACCACCAGGATGTAGGCTGTGGCCAGGTAGGTGCCCGAGGCCAGGAGGCTGATGTAGTCACTCTTGAGGGCCAGCGTCCAGATGCCCACTGCCATGACAGCCAGGCCGGCCAGCTACAAGCAGTACACACCAGTCACGGAGTCTGCCCAGGTCTGATGGTGACCCAGGAGGGGCAGGGGTGGGGGTGGGAGTGGGGGCAAGGCGACCCCTCCTCACCCAGAAGCAGCAGTTGTAGGTAAACAGCAGGTACTTGAGGCAAACGGTGCCACATGTTGTCTTCTTCTCGTTAAACTCACCCATCCTGGGGCTGGGGAGGCAGGGGAGGGGTCAGCGGGGCCACAGCACCAGACCCCTGACAGGGACAGATAGGAGGAGGGAACACAGATGCCCAAGCCGGCCCAGGAGTCGGGTGGAGCCAGCCACTGTCCTGGGAGACCTGCGAAGGAGCCCCTGTGGGAACATGACGTGTCACCTCCTAGCGACTCAGGAGCCCTGACCAGGTGCAGCCACGAGAGACCCCTGGTGCCCACAGATAGGCCAGGGGTCATGGAGGACCGCCCATCATCACTGCTGACTCATCCCTGCTGGCGGCCCGGGGAGGAAGCCCTAGCGGGTACCTCCGGTGAGCTCATGCCAGCCTGCCCGCCCCCCATGGCATTCCCGGGGCCCCACGTCACAGGCTGACAGGAGACTACGGGCCTGCAGTGAGGGCGGAGGAGGCCACTCAGAGACAGAGACAGCAAAGGGGCAGAGGCTCAGACAGGCCCCAGCTCAGCCCCTTCCTAAGGCTCTCCAGGCCTGTTTACGGTCTGTTAAAGGGCAGCCCTTCCTTCCTCCTGGCCCGAGTGGGGAGAATGGAGCGTGGAGGCAGGTGGAGTCTGGCAGACTGGGAGGGTTTTTCCTGGACAGGGGACCCACACCAACACGAGGGGGCAGCACAGACAGGCTGTGCCCCTCCCCAGAGGCCCCGTGCCCTGCCCAACATGCAGCAGCGGGCAAGCTGTGAGCACAGGGAAGGCAGGGACCGCGTGGGGTGCAGACAGCAGGTGAGCGCCCCGGGCCACGTTTCCAGACAGCACAGCCAGGCCTGGACTTTCACCGCCCCGCTTGCTCTGCCCCACCCTGCCCAGCACACACCAACCAGGCTAGGAACGACTCTTCTGCAGGACAGGTGGACAGAAGCTCCCCAGGACTCTAGGCTAGAGGGGCAAGGACACGTCAGGTCACAGGTTACACGTCTGGCCCAAGGGCCAGAGTGGGCTGGGTTCATTCTGGAGGCAGAGAGAGGAGTGGCCAAGCCTGGTATTTTAGTCTGGGCTAGGGTGGGGCAAGGCAGAGGACATTTCTTTTCTTTTTTTCCTTTTTTTTTTTTTTTTTTGAGACGGAGTCTCGCTGTGTCGCCCAGGCTGGAGTGCAGTGGTGGGATCTCAGCTCACTGCAAGCTCCGCTTCCCGGGTTCGCGCCATTCTCCTGCCTCAGCCTCCCAAGTAGCTGGGACTACAGGCACCCGCCACCCGCCCGGCTAGTTTTTTGTATTTTTTTAGTAGAGACGGGGTTTCACCGTGTTGGCCAGGATGGTCTCGATCTCCCGACCTCATGATCTGCCCGTCTTGGCCTCCCAAAGTGCTGGGATTACAGGCTTGAGCCACCGCGCCCGGCCTTTTTCCTTTTTTTGAGATGGAGTTTCGCTCTGTCACCCAGGCTGGAGTGCAATGGTATGATCTCGATCTTGGCTCACTGCAACCTCCACCTCCTGAGTTCTAGCAATTCTCCTGCCTCATTCTCCTGAGTCATTGGGATCACAGGCGCCCACCACCACGCCCAGCTAATGTTTGTATTTTTAGTAGAGACAGGGTTTCACCATGTTGACCAGGCTGGTCTTGAACTCCTGACCTTAGGTGGTCCACCCGCCTTGGCCTCCCAAGGCAGAGGACATTCCCGGACAGTGTCTGATCCTGGGAGGGACCTCATGCCTTCCCCAGGTGCCCCACTCTTGGCCTTCGCTCCAGGCCCATCACTGGCCCTTCTGCCCCAAACAGCAGCAGCTACAGCCTGGGAAAGAGGCATCATGAAGCTCGCGGGGACAGACCTGACCACTGAGCTGAGAGGGGACATTCACCCTCCATGAAGCCCGGGGCCTAAATACACGCACGAGGGGTGGCACGAGCAGACCCTGCCACCAGCGGGGCGGTGTGCCTGCCACCGATGGGGGGGATGTGTGTCTGTCACTGAGCTGGGGGGATGTGTGAGCCCCTCACGGATGTGCCCCTGGCCTGGCTGTGAGGTCCCAGGCTTTCTGGAGAGGCTGGTTCAAGGCACAGATGCGGCCTCCACCGCGAGGACACAGGCGACCCGCTGCGGAGTGGCCCCTCTTCCCAGGAATGCCTAGTCCCTCTGAACCCCCTGGGAAAAGGCCATCCAAAAATAGCTCTCCGGCCCTCCCCGAGTCCCCGGGACCCGCACCAGGCCCCTGGGCGACCCGCGCCCTATCAGGGGGAGCCCCAGTCAGGAGGACCTGGGACTCCGCGCCTGCCAAGCGTCCCCGCGGCACTGCAATGAGGTCACCGCCGCCGACCCCGCCCGGCGCGGCCAATGGCGCGCCCACTTGCACGCGGGCGGGGGCGGCTGCGGGCGGAGGGAAGGCTGCCGTGTCCAGGGACAATGAGCAGGGTGTCCAGGCTGCGCGTCCCGGGACCCCTGGGCCGAAGGGTGCCGTCAGGCCGGTCCAAGAGTCCGGGAGGCGCCTCTCCTTGCCACTGCGCCTCCCTCACCCGACCGGCGTCCGCCTCCCGCGGAAGGGCCTGCGAAGGAGCTGGGCCAGGCGGTGGGTGCGGCCTCCCGGAACCTCCCGGCGCCTGCGGCTGGGCCTCCGGGACTGGGGCGCGCAGGGCCTTCGGCCTCCTCGTTCCCCTCGCCCCGCTCGGTCGGGCTGCCGTGACGTCGCACTCACCTACCACTCGTCGGAGTCCGGGACCGGGCGGCGGCGGCTGCGGGGGCGGCGGCTCCCAGCGCTGAGAATGCGCGGCCCGGCGCCTCCGAGGGGGACGCCCCGCCCCGCCCAGGCCCCGCCCCGGCCTCAAGCCCCGCCCGGGGCGTCAGGAGCTCGACAGGTCTGAACCCGCGTGGCGGGCGGGAGCCGGTGGGTGTAGGCGCTGGGGGTCGACCCGACACTGCGGAGGCCGGGCGAGTTGCAGCCCTGGGGGTGCCAACAGCCCATCAAGGGCTCATCCGGTCCAGGGACAGAGGAGCTGGGCGGGAGGCGGGCCCGGAGATAAGACGGCAACCAGCCCAGCCAGAGGGCCTGGGCTGTGGCGACCGGGCCCTCCTCCATGCCTAACCCCCATCTCTTTCTCAGCACCCAGGAACCGCCCAGAGGCTGCAGGGGTCGGCAGAACGGATGCCGGCCTGGGGGAGGGGAGGGCCTAGCGCTGTGGGTAGATGCAGGAGAGGGGCTACTCTGCGTGCAGTGTGGACAGCCTGGAGACCCGGGCAGGCCTGGGGTCCCAGCGAGAGATACCCATGGGGTTCTGGGGGGCCCATGCCCTCTAGACTGGAAGGGGCCACTGGGAGCGGTGGGAGGAGGTGAAGGAGGAATGGTAGGGCCGGCCTAGGGCTGCACCAAGAGGCGGAGAGTGGGAGTGAGGAAGGAGGGGGCTCCCCACCCACCAAGCTCATTCATCACTGCCACAGGTGAGGACCAGAATGGGAGGGGGTGGCCGACTGAGGCTAGGAACTGCCGGGGCTCCCTGGTGAGACAGTGGGGAACCCTGATCCACACACTGGCGAGGGCCTTGTGGAGGCTCCAGCCTTGATGGGTAGTGTGAGTTTGGGGCATAACCAGGGACACAAGAGGACACGCAGGACCTCAGCCCCATCGCCGCAGGCCCGTGCTCCCTGTGTTCACCCACACAGCACGTGTGCACAGTGCCCACCTCATGCATGTGGCACACACAGGCTGCGGCCCCCAGATGCACGGAAGGCCCAGGAGGATGCAGTGCAGTCAGTAGGTTTTATTTGATGAGGGGGGTTTTCTGCTGAACTGAGTTGGGGTTGCTTGGGGACAGAGCGAAGGCTGGCAGAGGGCACACGGGACCCTGACCACTCCCAGGCTAGGTCCTTCATGTCTTCAGTTCTTCAGTCAGGCGATCCTGGGGCCCCCTGGGGAGAGCCCACATCCTGAGTGGGTACCCCCTACCCATGACAAGCCTCCCAGAAGAGCAGCTTCTAGCTGATGCTCTGAGTCACTCGGAGCTGGTCACCGGGCACTGGGAAGGTGGCCAGAGCCTCGTCTGTGGGGCCGAGCCCAGCAGCAGCAGCAGCAGCAGGTGGGCCCAGGCAGGTGGGCAGTCGTCAGAGCCTTCCTGCGGCTGCCACTTGCCCGCCTGGCCTCGCAGGCGTCCCTGTCATCCCGCAGCCGTGTGTTCAGTTCCCTAGGAGAGGAGGAGTCAGACATTGAGAGGGTCTGAGGGAGCTCAAGGTTGGGGGGAGGCGGGCTCTGGCTCCCCTCAGACTGAAGAGAGATGTCTGGCTGGGACTGCAGCGTTAGAGGTGAAAGGCAGAAAGATTCCAGTTGAGTAGAGTGGCAGCCAAGAATGTTGGGGAGCTTGGAGCCCCCAAGCTCTGCTGAGCCCCTTCCTTCTCAGGCCTGAGCCTGACTGTACCTGAGCAGCTCCAGTTGCCGTAGCAGGCTGTCTTTCTCTTTCTGCATGTTCCTGGAGACGGCGACCACCTCTCTGTGGATGGGAGGTGGTGATCCGGCTGCAGGAAGGCTCCTTGGGGAGCCCCAGGACCCCCTAGAAGACCCTCCCTCCCACTGGGCGGGCCTGGGACTTGAGATGGGGATGAAAGTGGCCCAGAGCTGAGCGCCTGTCGGCCCCGCCCGCGGGACACGTACGGGGGCCCGCCCCAGCCCCGTCCCCCGGCACCGTTGGGTTTGCTCCTGGCGGCCTCGCGCTTCGCTCTCCAGCCTGCGGATCTGCTCCTTCGCCCCTTCCAGCTGCGTTCGCAGCGCCTCGTGCGCCCGCCACAGCTGGGAGTTCTGGGCCTGCGCCTCCAGGTGCTCCGCAGCCCGGGCCTGCAGCTGCTGTTCTAACTGGAGGGTGGAAGGGTGGAAGGATGGAGACCGGCAAGGAACGCCCCCTCTTCCCCGGGGTGCTGCGCGGGCCCCAGGCTCCAGACAACCCGGGGACTGGGGACGCTGAGGCACAGGGGGAGAGTGCACGGGTGACCCTAGGGACGGGGCAGGGGCCAGGTGCTCACCTCCCGCTGCCGCAGGCCCGCGCGTTCCAGGTCCTGCTCGCGGCTCTGCAGCTCCAGCTCCAGGCGGCTTCTCTGCTCGCCGCGGGCAAAGTTCTGGGACGCAGGGAAGACCACTGAGCCTCCGCTGGCCGCCCGGCCATGCAAAAGAGGTACACGGAGGGCCAGGGACTGGGAGTGGGCCAGGGCGAGGCGGGGTCGGGTGGGGAAAACCAGGCGGGCGTGATGGGTGAGGCCCAGCGGGGTCTCATCCTCCTGAGGGCAGCCTGGACCCGCGGAGGTGGGGCCGTCGGGGAGGGATTAATTCGGAGAAGGCGGAGCCAGGAAGGCCAGCGCGGTGGGATTGGGCCTGGCGGGAGGGGCGGGGCCCGAGACCCACCTGACTCGGCTGGCGCCGGCTCTGCTCGCGCAGCTGCTCGGTCTCCTCGTACAGAGCGCGCACCTCCCTCTCGTGCTCGCTCTCGCGCCTTCGGGGGACCAGGCGACCTCGGATGAGAACTTGCCAGTGCTACAGCCCCCCGGCACCACCTCTGCTGCTACCCTGAGGCCCTCCACTGGCTCCCAGACCCCACCCCGGCCCTCACCTCCGCAGCGCCTGCTCCAGGCCGTCGCGCTCCCGGGCCGCCTCCTCCAGGCAGGCTGACGCGCGTATCAGAACATCCTCGAAAGAGCTCAGCAACTCGGGGCGCTCGCGCTGCAGCCGGGCCCAGAGCGTCCTCACAGCCCGCTGCCTGGAGGGCGGGCGGGAACTGAGGCTGGAGCTGGCAGAGGCGGGGAGCAGGCTCCCTTCCGCCAACGGCAAACCCTTGGGAGACTCCTTCGTCCCTGGGCAGGACAGGAGCACTTGCAGCGTGCAGGGCATCCCTCCCGTGAGCGCTTTCGCCCCTGCCCGGCGTGCGTGGTCGGTGTGCGTATCCCGGGCAGTGCCAGTATGTGGCCCCGCGCCCGGCGCTGCCCCTCCTCCCTGCAGCCCTGGCTGCTGCCTCATGAAATGCAAATTCTGCGGGAAATCACGCCAGGTCCCTCCCAAGGAGTCGCAGCTGACGCTAGGCTAGGCCTGACCCGCCCTAGAGACCCTGTGCAGGACCAGCACTCGGGTGACAAGGGCAGACAGCATGCAGGCAGAGAAACAGCAGAGGGGGCAGTGGGAGCGGGGCCAGCGCCGACTCACTCGCCCAGGACCGGGGCCACCCCCAGTTGCTCCAACACAGTGTGGAATCGCTCCTCCTCTTCCTCCTCCTCCTCATCCAGAGAGGCCCCCGTGCCCTGCACGTCGAGCCAGCCCCAGCCCGACTCAAAGGTCTCCTCGGGAGTCCTGCGGGGGGTCGCTCCCTGGGCCGACTCCACCCCCACAAACATCCCTGCGGGCATGGAGCGAGCGATTACCACCGCTGTGGGTCGCCACCCTGGCTCTGTCCCCGTTCACCCTCCCAACGAGTATCCTGCCCTCTCTCAGGGCCCAGTTTCCTGTTTTTCTTCCTTATTCTGGTCCTATTGGCCTGGGAACAAGAGGTGACAGGCCGGCTCCCAGCCCCACCGGAGCTTAGCACGGGAGAGGAGGTGAGGGGCAGGAAGGTCAGCTCCACACACTGGACAGCAGCTGGGAGCCCCCAAGCGCCAGTGCGTGCAGACACCAGCACGGGCCCCGGAGGGAGGAGGAGGAGAGGCACAGGCAGCCCTCGGGGCGCCACAGGTGCCAGGCCTCCTGATCAGGCCTCCAGCTCTGGGCAGTGGGAGATAGGCAGGCCTCAGGCTCACCCAGGCCCAGGCAGAACTCCCGGGCAGTGAGAAAGCCAGTGTGAGCCTGGTCCAGACTTTCAAACACGGCCTCCAGCTGCTCTGGTGTGAGGGGCAGGTCGCTCTGGAGTCCCTGGTCAGGGAAGGAGAGCAGAGATGAGCTGCTGAGGTCAACCAGGGCCGAAGCAAACTCTTGGGGCGAGGGACTCACCTGCAGGTCGTGCCTGGTGATGAAACCCTTGGCCTCCTTGTCACATAGCAGAAACAGCTCCTGGGCCTGCTCCAGCATTGCAGCCTGTGGCCCTGCAGAGCCCCCCTCAAGTTCCCCCTCCTCCTCCTGGGCCTCATCAGCCCCAGGCTTTCCAGGGCTGGCCATGGGAGCAGGGGGCCTCAGTTGGCCTTCAGGTGCTGTGAAGCCAAGGGAGGGTCAGAAAAAAAAGCCAAGGAGGGGAGCAGATGGGGTGCAAATATGTCTGACGGCTCAGCTGAGGGCCCTCCCTGCAGCAGGTGGGAAGGTAGGAAGAAGGCAAGGTGGGGCCAGGGGGGTGGATGTAGAAAATGCTGCAGGGTTGGGGTGTCACTGGGGTGGGTGATGCAGCTCAGGACCTGTGAGTACTGCCCCAATGGGTCTGGCATCTCAGGAGGTTGGAACCCAGGGAGAGGCTACAGCCCTAGGAGGGGCTGCCGACTTTGGGAGAGGGGGAGCTGGAGGTGAGGGCAATCTCAAGGGCCAGTGGAGAAGACCTGGTGATAAGGAAGGTGGGATCCTGAAAGCTGAGAGGAGCTGGCTGCAGGTCAGTGAGGGAGGAGCCCGTCACGCTCTGCAACTGGAGATCTGATCCCAAGTGAGGGCTCAACCAGTCCTGACCAAGTCCTTAGCCCCTGGCCTGGGCCTGTGTGGCCCAGCCTCATGACAGCTGGCAGGCAGGGCAAACTTCTCCCTTCTGCCCACTGGCACCTCCCTCCACACAACTAAGCCGACAGACTGCAGGGGCAAGGTCCCAGCCTGCGGAGCCCTGCCTCTGAGGCTCCACTCAGAAACACTCAGATTCGAGACCTAATACCCCTGCCCCCCAACACTAAGGCCCTTCCCTGTCCCAGAACTCCCTGGGGCCTCCCATCCCACCTCCTTGCAGGGACACCCCTCCCCCTAACCAGAGCCACCTGTCCTTCACACAGTGTCCTAATCCCGGATTTCCCAAAGCTGCTCCCCAGCAAAACCCGCCTTCCCCAACCAGGGAGCTGTGATCCTCTCCCCTCACTCCCCGCCCAGGGTCCTTCCAGGTTCCTTAGCCCAGGCGACCTTCAAAGAGGGCAAGTCTGGGCAGGTGAGAGAAGGGGACACAAGAGGCCAGGGCCATTGCCTCCAAGCCACGTTGTCGCCTCTCCCTCCGGCTTGCCGGCTAGACCGGAGGTCCACCCTAGCCGGAAGCCGCGTGGCGGCAGGGCCCCAGGGAGCTGGAAGGATGGGCTGGCTGGGTGGGGCGGCCAACCGCCTGCGCTCCCCGAAACTCTAGGGTACAAGCCCGCCCTTACCCCTGCCGCCGCGCGCCCCGAGGGTGTAACTCGAGTTCCCGACCGAGACGCTCAGGTTTGGCGCGGGCCACGGCGGCCCCGAGGGGGTGCCGGCGGCGGGGGCCGGGCGGGCGGCGGTGGAGGGGCCTCAGCGGTGGGACCAGCGGTCGCCTACCTGCGAACTGCGCCGCCGCACCTGCCGCGCGCCCGGGGCCGCTCCTCCCGGAAACGCTGGGCGCGCCCCGCCCCAGCTGAGACCCGGCCGGGGCGCCGGGGGCACCGGGCCCGGAGCGACCCCTGCCGCCTCCCAGGCACCGAGACCCCTGCTTGGGCCGGCCCCGGGAGGAGCCGCTCTGCGCCGCTGTGGCCTGTCCCCGGCTCTCTGCGCTGCCCCGGCTGCCCGACCCGTGGAGGCTCGAGCGAGCAGTGGAGCAACGATGTGCCCTGGAGACCCAGGGACCCCCCAGAGCTGGGACAAGGCAGCGGGGGGCGGGCGCAGACACCAGCGTCTGGGAGGGGCCACTCCTGTCCGTGGGGAGCCTGACTTAAGGCACCAAAAAGTGTGTGTAGGAAAAGGCCGGGCAGGAAACAGACCAAATACTTTCAGCGGTTATCTCTAGGGGTGGGGAGCCTTTACTTTCTTCTCGATACTTTCCCAGTTTTTAAACAATAAACACGTAGGCCAGGCGCCTGTAATCCCAGCACTTTGGGAAGCCGAGGCAGGGGCGGATCACCTGAGGTCAGGAGTTCGAGACCAGCCTGTCCAACATGGCGAAACCCCATCTCTACTAAAAATACAAAAAACCCTAACCTGTAATCCCAGCTACTGGGGAGGCTGAGCCAGGAGAGTCGCTTGAACTCAGGAGGCAGAGGTTGCAGTGAGCAGAGATTGTGCCATTGTACTCCAGCCTGGGCGACAAGAACGAAACTCCATCTCAAAACAAAACAATGAACATGTAATGCTAGAAAATGTTTAACTTAGCAGTATTCAGTGTACACGTACGGGTGAACGAGCTGGGGACACAGGGAGGTCCCACCTCCACAGCCCCTCCTGGCTCTCCTTCTGGGGCCCAGCCCTGACTGGGGCTCCCAGTCAGGGGGAGGACTGGAAGGAGGAGCTGCCTGAGGCCAGAATGAAACCCTCCCGTGTGGGGAGAAAATTCCACCCAAGACCGAGGAGCCCTCCCCAGCCCGTCTGGCCCCCGCACCCACCTGAAGGGCTGGAATCACTCTCCCGCCCAGCAACCCTGGAGGGGTGCAAGGCCTCTGCTTCTCAAGGAAGGGGCCTGGGATCCAGCCTGCGACCCAGCTGAACCACAAAAGGCTGGGCTTATGGGACAGGACCTTGAAACCAAGGAGGGGGGTGGCCTCTGGCACAGGCGCAACAGGGACCTGCCTGGCCGGCTCGCCCAGTCCCAGATCCCAGAACCAACCGTTATTGTTGGCAGGGGGCTGCCACCACAGCCACCCCACGCCTTCTGGGAGGAGCAGGTGGGGACTGACTCTGACAGGGCTAAGAGCTCTGGACAGCCAGTCAGGCCTAGGGCTCCACTCCAGCACCCTCAGGCCATGGGGCCCTTTTGGTTACCAAGGACTGGCCTTCTCCCCTCATGGCCTCTCCGCCATGCAGAAGATGCTGTCAGGAAACCACTTCCTCAGCACAAGGCTGAGTCCCCTTCAGCTAGGACCTCACCTGCCTCCATATCCCAGCCCCAACCTGTGTACTGGCTGGGCACAGGAACAAGAAGGTATGTGCACCAGGCCAGAGAGGCTTGTGAGGGTGGGGGGACAGAGAACTTTGGGCCAAACGCCAAGTGGAGCAAGTGCCCAGGCTTCCCAGGTCCCTTGTGCTCAGTTTCAGGATCCTCAGCCCCCACAGCTGTCCAAGCCTGAAAGCAGCCACACCCCCGCTGTGTGTGGGGAGGGGCAGGTGACACCTTTTGTAAACATTTTGGTTTTTATTTACCAAGGATCTCGGTCCCAAATATTTCCATTGGCCCTCAGAAGGCTGTGGCCAAGGGTCAGCCAGGAGGCCGAGGGCAAGTTGGGGGGCATGTGGATGGGTCCTAGACAGGGGGGTGGGCAGGAATGCAGCAGGCTCACATGTGTCTGTAGCGGGGGGTTCCTAGGCCAACCTGGCAGGTTCCAAATGCCAGGCCCAGGAGTGCGATGCTGGGAGACCCTGCAGGCCTGCAGCTGTGGAGACGCTAGTCAGCCGAGGCAGGGCCAGACCCTAGCCACCAGGCTCTGCAAGCAAGCGGGCAGTCACATACATGCGAAGTGGGCAGAGGCTGGGCTGCAGCATTTATTACATGTGCTTTCGCGAAAATAAATAATTCTTCACACACATTTTTCAGCAGGACATGAAAAATGGGGCAGGAAGGAAAGCTGCAAAGTTCTCGGGGGTAAGGGGGTGGGGGAGGTGCCCAGGCAGCACAGGGGAAGGAATATTAAGGCACAGGTACGCGGGGCCTCAGCGGCCCAGGGGAGAGGTGTGGAAACCTCCCCACTCAGTGCAGCTGGTGAGTGGCTGGCGAGGGGCCCACGGTAAAGGCCCCTCTTGGCAGCTGTGACTCCCCCCATCTCCTCACTCTGCAGTGGTAAAGCAGGCATCTCAGGCAGGATCCCTGGAGAGGGTTGGGGTCTCAGGCAGCCCCAGGGCCCCGATCACAAGCCGGGCCGCGAGAGCAGCGGCGCTCAGCAAGGGGGCAGGCCTGGCGGGTGCTGCGGGGACGCGAGGTCGTCTGGGTCGGCGGGGGCGGGGTCGGCGGGGGCAGGGCCGGCAGATGCGCGCATGCGCAGAGCTTCGGGCGGGAAGGCCACGTTGGTGCAGAAGAGGCCGAGCAGCAGCTGGCGCTGGCACTCCTCCCACTTGGCCAGCGCGTCCCCCAGCGACAGGTTGTTGCGCATCCAGCCGGGCAGTGCCTCGCTGTAGGTGGCGCAGGACAGCGGCACGGAGGGCAACGACTGGACGCGGCGCAGCTCCACCTGCTCCGGCAGCCTGCGGGGCAGGGAGAGGGCTTCAGCTCCCGGCACTAGCACCGCGGGCCCCGGGTGGACACGCAGTCGGCGGCTCACCTGGAGGACAGGTGCCTGCCCAGCTTCCTCTTGGCGCGCATCACCAGGTACTGGCAGATGCTGCCCGTCTGCTCCTTCATCCACCGGATGTCCTCGGGAACGTCGGGCAGCCACTCCAGCAAGCTGGGGACAGGGCAAGCAGCGCGTTCAGGGGCTCGCATGCCCACCCGCCGGGCCCTGTCTGTGCCCTGACTCGGTACTGCCCACCCCACCCCACCTTCCCTGGTGACCATCACTCGCGGATGATCCCAAAGTCCGTCCCCAGGGCCCCTCTCCCGACCCCCCGGCCCCCACACCGGATGGTGAAGGACAGAGCGCTCTCCAGCGGCAGCGTGTAGGGCACCATCATTGCAGTGGCCAGACGCACGGGCAGCATGTTGGAGAGGGTGGTCAGCAGGTCTGTGGGCTCCACGCAGGCCTCCAGCAGGGCTGCAGGTAGGCGGGAGGTCAGCGGCCAGTGGAGGCAGAGGAGCCCAGGACCCCCTAGATTTCCCTCCCCGGCTCACCGTCCTCTCTCTTCCCCTCCTGCCTCCCCTCCAGTCCCCGAGGTGCGCACCCTCATTGAGTCGGACGGGCAGGTGCTCCAGGATGTGATCTTCCCCGGGCAGCTGTGAGTGGTCCACCGCTTGGGCACTCTCCATGGCCTCGTCCTCGTCCTCTGGGCCGTGGGGGCAGGCGGGGGGCAACGCCAGCAAGGGGTTGGGTCGGTTCAGAAGGCCTGGGGTGGGGGCGAGGAGGGATTCCCAGTTCATCAGGCCTGCAGGGTGCAGCAGAGCCGAGCCCACCCCGCCCTGTCCCGCTGGGGTCCACGCACCGTTCCGCTGCAGGAAGCGCAGGCCGTCCCGGTAGCCCTGCTTGCACATCTCTCGCAGCACCTGTGGTGAAGAGGGTTAAACGGAGTGGAGGGAGCCAGGGATGCCTGTTCTGCCCCTGGAGTCCCTGGCGCCCCTGAGGGCCACCTCCCTTCACCACCCACAGCCCCCAACCCCAAAACCTATCCTAGACCCGTCTCTACTAAAAATACAAAAAATTAGCCGGGTATGGTGGCGGGTGCCTGTAGTCCCAGGTACTCGGGAGGCTGAGGCAGGAGAATGGCATGAACCTGGGAGGCCAAGCTTGCAGTGAGTGGAGATCGCACCACTGCACTCCAGCCTGGATGACAATGTGAGAATCCGTCTCAAAAAAAAAAAAAAAATAGTTTGAGGCCAGCCAGGCATGGTGGCAGGCGCCTATAATCCCAGCTACTTGGGAGGCTGAAGCAGGAGAATAGCTTGAACCCAGGAGGCAGAAGTTGTAGTGAGCTGAGATTGCGTTACTGCACTCCAGCCTTGGCAACAGAGCGAGACTCCATCTCAAAAAAAAAAAAGAGAGAGAGAGGCTGGACGGGGAGCCTGGACAGAGGTTGGATGGGCCATCTGCCCCTAGAGAGGCTGCGCACTTTCCCGCAGCCCTCAGAAGAGGCTGTACAGACCCCACCCTACCCTGGGCACTCAGAAGTCAAAGGAGCAGTGTTCTCCCTTGGTGCTCAGTGAGGAGTGGCTGGGAAGGCCACAGTCCCCGGAGCAGAGCTCACCAGGGGCTCAGGCGGGAAGAGGGCCTTGGAGAGGCGGTAGAGGTTGCGAAGGTTGAACTGGATGCTGGTGTTGGTGACTCGCAGCTCGTGGATGTTGGTGGAGCTGTCCTGTGGACAGATGTCACTCTCGCCCGAGAAAGGGGACACTGTGATGGTGTTCTTAAGCTCATAGAGTGGCAGGTTGTCCGAAATGCCACCATCCACATAGCGCTTCCATGGGACACACAGACAGGACTGTACATGAGGGCCTGCGGCTGCACTGGCCAGCTCCCCCCACCCACCGCCACCCCACGCGGCCACCAAGGGCCCCATTCAGTGGCTATTTCATTTGGGCATTTTACCCACTGGGCATTGACTGTGGGCCAGCTTGGGCACTGAGCAGATGGCAGACTGGGGAGGGCAGGGACAGAGGAAGGGATGGCAGGGGGCAGGGCAGGAAGCGTGCATCGCCATGGCTGCTTCTTGAGTAACACAGGGGAAGTGGGGTAACAGGCAGTGGCAGGGCAAGGGCCTGAAGGATGGCTCTCGGCGGCCTCCCCCTCTGTCCCTCATCCCACAGCCCACCTCATGGAAGGTGCCCAGGGCTAGGGATACTCACCACCCCCTGGAGGGAGGGAGGGATGAGCCCACAGTACACGGGGATGAAACCGCTGCAGACATTGGCCTTCAGGACAGGGACAGAGTGGGAGAGAGTGAGCAGGGTCCTTGAGGTTCACACTGTGCCCACCCCCAAGCATGGCTCCACCAGGCCCCACCTGGATGAGCTCGTCCTTGGAGTTGAAGTGGGATATAATGACATTCTCGCCGTCCGACACGCGGGTCAGGGAGATGCCCAGGCGCCCACTGGCATGCTCATGGCTATCAGCTGGCAGAACCTTCAGCAGGAAACTGCGGATGATCTTTACCAGGTTGAAGGAGGGGTGCAGGGGGCCCAGGAACCGCTTCCGGGCCTCTTTAGATACCTCAATGAACTTGGCACCAGCCTCACCTGGGGCACAGGGCCAAGGTTAGGGGCCCGTGCTCCTGGGCTTTGCAACCCACCTTCCTTCATAGCCCCATGTCCAGGGTTCCATGGCATACAGACCCTGGAGGAGGCCCAGTGCATGTGGGACCTGGCTTATAGTTGGGACTTTGGCCACCTTCCCTGAGATGGCAGACAGCTGAGGCTGGCCAGCTGAGACCAGGACCTGCCCTCTGCCTGGTATTTCCCAACTGTCTGTCCCCATGAGTCACTGGGCCTGGTGTGGCATCTAGCCCAGGAGTGGGGACAAGGCAGAGACTCAACTCTGACCAGCCTTAGCCTTCACCCACTTGGCCAGATTCAGCAGTGGGGGGATGGGGCAGACCCACAAAGCCCAGCCCGGCACACAGGTCACAGTTCACAGGCCCGGGCGTGTTGGGCTGGAAGTAGTCAGGACCCAGTTCCTAAGAAGGCACACCTGTGTCCCACTGCAGCCAAGAGGAAGCACCCCAAACACTCCTTTTGGGCCCAAGGGTGCTGGCCAGCTTGGGGCTAGTCCCTGGAAGTGGTCTGGAGCGTTGTGGGAAGAGCTGAGGTCCAAGCCCCTCCTCCAGTGCATCACTCTTGTCAGGAGTGGGGCAGTGTGGAGGCAGGAGCTCCTCAGACAGCACCTGCTGCACTATGGGCTCCAGCTGTGCAAGACCACCCGTGAGAAGGAGTCTTGTTGGGAGCAGGGTGGGGAAGCTATGGGAGAAGTGTCCTTGGCTGGGGCAGCAGGGACCTTGATGTGTCCTGAAGCCAGGGGGCCGACTGAGGCGCTTGTCTGAAAGCCTCCAATAACAGCTGTAGTTATTCGGACCTGGGGGGTTCACTTCTGTGGTCCAGCCCCCTCCCTCCCAGGACAAAGTTCAGAGGAAGAGGGCAGGGGTGAACCCCGGACAAGCTCCTGCTGAGCAGGGTGCCTGTCATTTCGGGTGTCCTCACAGGCTAGGAGCTGGGCAGCAGTTCCCAGGACTCCTGAAGTTATGTGCTGTAAATGCTGCTCCTTCATGGCAGCCGATAGTGCGAGCCGAGGCCAGCCCAGCACACAGAGACCCATCCACTCCTGACCACAGGCACCAGAGCCCAGAAGCACCCTCACCATGAAGTGTGCAAACGCGGTGGGCCTCAGCGGGGAGCCAGGCCACAGGGCACCATGTGCAAGGAGAGGGCAGAAGAGCCCCTTCGCGCCCAGCCCTGACCTCAGCGGGGCTCCTCCTCCGGGCCCTTGGAAAGGACCAGGTCACGGTTCCCAGACGCCTCTCAGAGGCCACCCCCATGCCAGGCCCCCTGATAGCAGCCTGGAATTGCAGAGGCCCAGGACACTGTGACCGACCGCTGGCACAGGGTGTAATATCCAGGGCCACGGGGTGACTTAGGTGCCTCTTTGGATTCTCACGGTCCCGCCCACGAGTTACTTTCTCTGTCCAATTAAGCAGCTTCTGCTGCACCTGCCCGTCCCCCAACCTTTGCGCCCGAGAGGCGGGCCCCGGGCACCCTCGGAGCAAAACAAACCAGGCCCCGCCCCCGGGCCAGCGACCCGGATTGGATCCTCGCCGGGTTCCCTAGGCGCGGACAGGAGCCCTCCCCACGGTACCCACCGGCTCGCCGCGGGGCCCCTCCGTTCACCGAGACCATCCCCTGGCCCCGCGCGGCCTTCCCGCCAGCCCCGCCTGCCGCCCCCGGCCCCGCTCACCCAGGCAGACCCCGGTGACCAGAGCCGTGGCCGTGAGCGCCCCGGCCGAGGCGCCATAGATGTGCGTGGCGTTGGCCACCAGGAAGGGCGCGTGCTCGCGGAGGCAGGAGGCCACGCCGACGTAGTAGACGCCGAGGAAGCCGCAGCCCGCGAACGAGATGTTCCACGTCTTCTCCCGGGGAAACATCGCGGCGGCGGCCGCCGGGCTCCGGGCTCCGCGGGCGGCCGGGCCTCTCTGCGCCGCTTGCTCGCCGCTCGCCGTTCGCTCGCTGGAGCCGGGAGCCGGGAGCCGGGGGCCGGGGGCCGGGAGCCGGGGGCCGGGCGGGTCCAGCTGCGGCTCTAGCGCGGGTCCCCACTGGCGGAGGCGAAGAAGCTACGCGAGCGGCGCGGAGGCGGCGCTTTTAAGTGTGAACTCACGGCGGGGGCGGGGCCGGCACACGAAGACCAATCGGGGCGCGCGGGGAACGGCCGTGCCTTCGGGCCCCGCCCCCGTCCCTGACCCGCCCCCCCCGCGCTGGAGCCCCGCCCCCCGCTGCCGCCCAGCGAAGCCTCCCGCCCTCCCTCCGCCCCTGCTGGGCACCGCTGGGGGCACGCGCCTACGGGAGCCGGGTGGGCCGGGCGCAGGCCCCCAAGCCTGGGGGCTGGAAGCCTCACACAGACCTGGGTACCCGCGAGAGGGGGCTCTGGTTTCAGGGCAGCCGCCGCCCTTCCCCACCAGGTCCGCCTCCCACACCCACCCGGGACAGAGGAGCTGGTCCCTGGACAGAGACTCACCGGCAGCACCCCAGACCTGAAAGCCGCACAGGCCTCGGGAGTCCCAGGACCCACTGGCTCACCCACAGACGGACCCATAAACATCCAAGGCGGGATGCTAGTCCCGTAAATCCTTCGTGGGGGACCCCAGCTCCGCAGACCCACGCGCCCTGACGTGGGGCCTCAGCCTTGCCCCGCGCCCGCGACCCCTCCGGACCTTGGCCTCTTACCTGGGTCTGTACCTGGGTCCCGCCCTGCCTGTTCAGGCTTTGGGGCTGTCCGCGTCTGACTGGGGCCGCCCCGCCCCCCGATAATTGCCCCAGAGGTAGAGCAATCCTGGGTGATGTCACCCTTCCGTCCCTTTTCCGCATTTTTCTCCTTGTCAGTGGTGCAAGCCGGGCTTGGTGTGGATCCAGGATCCGTCCCTGAACCTCACCCCACCCCCAAAGGAGAGGTTCTCTTAGGTTGGGGTGGGAGGCAATGAGATTCTGTCTCCCCAGGAACACTGGCTCTCCAGGCTGAGGTCATCTCTGGCCCTAGCTGTTGTCAGGGCTGCAGAGGGTCTGGGACGGGGCTTGGGGCTGCCCCCAACCCAAGCTGAGTTAGAGAAGCCAGAGCAGGGCCTTCCCAGAATGGGGCGATGTAGGGGGATGCTGCCCAGTCCTCAGCCTCCATGCTCCCAGACATCCCAGAGAGCAGTGGAAAGTCAACCCTGCCCCAGCCCTACTGGGGGCCGGTAGGCGTCTACATAGGCTGAAAATGAGAGGAGGCCGGGCACGGAGGCTCACACCTGTAATCCCAGCACTTGGGGAGGCCGCGACGGGTGCATTACAGAAAGTCGGGAGTTTGAGACCGCCCTGGCTGGTGAAACCCTGTCTGTACTAAAAATACAAATATTAGCCGGTCAGGGTGGCATACGCCTGTAATCCAAGCTACCTGGGAGGCTGAGGTGGGAGAATCACCTGAACCTGGGAGGCGGAGGTTGCAGCGAGCTGAGATTGCACTACTGCACTCCAGCCTAGGCTTCAGAGCCAGGCTCCCTCCCCCCCAAAAAAAAGAAAAAAAAGAGGCTGGGCGCCGTGGTGGCCCACGCATGTAATCCCAACACTTTGGAAGGCCAAGGTGGGCTGATCACCTGAGGTCAGGAGTTCGAGACCAGCCAGGCCAACATGGCAAAACCCCCTCTGTACTGAAAATACAAAAATTAGCCGGGCGTGGTAGCACATGCCTGTAGTCCTAGCTACTCGGGAGGCTAAGGCAGGAGAATCGCTTGAACCTGGGAGGCAGAGGTTGCAGTGAGCTGAGATGGTGCCACCGCACTCCAGCCTGGCCAGGTGACAGAGCATGACTTCTCAAAAACAAAACAAAACAAAACCAAAAAAAATGCCAGGCACTGTGGCTCATGCCTGTAATCCCAGCACTTTGGGAGGCCGAGCTGGGCAGATCACGAGGTCAGGAGATAGAGACCATCCCAGCTAACATGGTGAAACCCCATCTCTACTAAAAAAATATAAAAAAGTTGGGCATGGTGGCAGACGCCTGTAGTCCCAGCTACTCGGGAGGCTGAGGCAGGAGAATGGCATGAACCCGGGAGGCGGAGCTTGCAGTGAGCCCAGATCGTGCCACTGCACTCCAGCCTGCTCCATCTCAGGAAAAAAAAAATTGAAAAATGAGTGAGAGGAGGTCGTGTGGGGCACCTCAGGGGTTCTGGAGTGCTCCCCTGTGGGAAGCGAGGATAAGTTGAACTTTGAAGGGTAAATGAGCAGACAGGGCTGTAGGCCCTCCAGGCAGCCGACCAGGACAGGGGAAGATTGTGGGGGAGTGAGGGGGAGAGAGTAACTGAGCCCCAGGTGGGAGAGGGTCAAGCAGGGAGGACGTGACCATACTTGACTTGAAGAGACTCCTAGGCAGGGCGCAGTGGCTCACACCTATATTCCCAGCACTCTGGGAGGCTGAGGTGGGGGGATTGCTTGAGTCCAGGAATTTGAGACCAGCCTAGGCAACATAGCTTGATTCCATCCCTACAACAAAATTAAAAAATAGGCCGGGCACGGTGGCTCACGCCTGTAATCCCAGCACTTTGGGAGGCTGAGGTGAGTGGATCACGAGGTCAGGAGATGGAGACCATCCTGGCTAACACGGTGAAACCCTGTCCCTACTAAAAATACAAAAAAAAAAAAAAAAAAAAAAAAAAAAAAAAATTAGCCAGGCGTGGTGGCAGGCGCCTGTAGTCCTACTTACTCAGGAGGCTGAGACAGGACAATGGTGTGAACCCCAGAGGCGGAGCTTGCAGTGAGCGTAGATGGTGACACTGCACTCCAGCCTGGGCGACAGAGCGAGACTCCATCTTAAATAAATAAATAAATAAGTAAAAATAAGTGCCAGGAGCGGTGGCTCACGCCTGTAATCCCAGTACTCTGGGAGGCCAAGGCGGGCGAATCACAAGGTCAGGAGATTGAGACCATCCTGGCTAATACGGTGAAACCCCGTCTGTACTAAAAATACAAAAAATTAGCCAGGCATGGTGGTGGGCGGCTGTAGTTCCAGCTACTAGGGAGGCTGAGGCAGAATGGTGTGAACCCAGGAGGTGGAGCTTACAGTGAGCCGAGATCCAGCCACTGCACTCCAGCCTGGACAACAGAGCGAGACTCCATCTCAAAACAAACAAACAAACAAATAAATAAATAATAAAAAATAATAAAGGCCAGGCGCGGTGGCTCACGCTTGTAATCCCACCACTTTGGGAGGCCGAGGCGGGTCGATCACGAGGTCAGGAGATTGAGACCATTCTTGCTAACACGGTGAAACCCCATCTCTACTAAAAATACAAAAAATTAGCCAGGCATGGTGGTGGGCGCCTGTAGTCCCAGCTACTCGGGAGGCTGAGGCAGGAGAATGGCGTGAACCCGGGAGACGGAGCTTTCAGTGAGCTGAGATCGCGCCACTGCACTCCAGCCTGGGCGACAGAGCAAGACTCCGTCTCAAAAAAAAAGAAAAAGAAAAAAATATATATATATGTAAAATAATAAATAAAATAAAAAATAAATATATAAATAAGTAAATAAATAAATAAATAAAAACTAAGCCAGGTGTAGTGTACCCACCTATAGTCTCAGCGACTCAGGAGACTGAGGTTGGAAGATCGACTTGAGTCTGGGCTGGCTGGGGGTGAACCATGATCGCACCACTGCACGTCAGCCTGAGCGAGAGTGAGACCCTGTCTCAAAAACAAAACAAGGCCAGGCGCCGTGGCTCAAGCTTGTAATGCCAGCACTTTGGGAGGCCAAGATGGGCGGATCACGAGGTCAGGAGTTCAAGACCATCCTGGCTAACACGGTGAAACCCCGTCTCTAGTAAAAAAATACGAAAAGCTAGCCGGGCGAGGTGGCGGGCGCCTGTAGTCCCAGCTACTCAGGAGGCTGAGGCAGGAGAATGGCATAAACCCGGGAGGCGGAGCTTGCAGTGAGCTGAGATCCGGCCACCCCACTCCAGCCCCGGCACAGGCGAGACTCCTGCGCACGTGGGGCCTCTTCCAAATCTTCGGATGGAGGTACACGGGGGCAAATGCACTCTGGGATTGGGGAGGGAGGGCCAGGGTTTGGAGGGCGGAGCCAGGTGTCAGGAGCCCCCTGTGACTGGATTCTGTCAATGCTGCTGGAGCCAGCAGGGTTCAGGGTGTGATGAAGTAGGGATGGAAGTCCAGGGGCTCCTCAGGACAACCACTGACAGGGAAGCCAGGGACTTAGGGTCCTTCCCTCTCCAAGGAAAGGCCGGGAAAGGCCAGGGTTCGGGCCTTAGCCCCATTTGAGGGACTGTCGCCTTGATGGGTGGTGCTGCCTCAGCACAGGGAGACCTTTACTCCTATTTCCACATCTGGGTCAGGCTGTTTTGGGTACATAATCTCCAGGCCCCTGGGAGGCTCAGGAGCCAGGAACTGGGCAGTCCTTCCCAGAATCCTGGCAGGGTCTGGGAGCACCCCACCATTAGGACAAGCTCCAAGGGACAGTTCAATGAGAAACCCCAGGCAGTGGGACGTCCCCCTCTCATGGTGACCTCCGGGCAAAATAGGGCCCCTCCGTTCAGGGTCCAAGGCTGGAATTGCCAGGTCTGCACTCGGAAGCCTAGGTCCACTCCTGCTGCGGGCCCCTTCCCTGAGCCTGGGCCATCCCCAGCACCAGCCTCACCCCTGCCTTGTTGTAGCGAGCACTGCTCCCTGCACTCCTTAGCTGTACCTTGCTAGGGTCATTTCTCTGCTTCCTCCTCCATCTGCTGCCCCACCCCTACTACCCAGGTTCCAGCCTCCTCCACTGCTCACCTGGCTTTACTCCCACCCTAGTCTCTGCTTTTATGGGCATCCAAAAAGGTCTTTTTAAAAATATTATTGGCCGGGCGCGGTGGCTCAAGCCTGTAATCCCAGCACTTTGGGAGGCCGAGACGGGCGGATCACGAGGTCAGGAGATCGAGACCATCCTGGCTAACACGGTGAAACCCCGTCTCTACTAAAAATACAAAAACTTAGCCGGGCGAGG